GTCTCTCTCTCTTTAAAAAAAGCAGTGGCTGCCCCCCCCCTCTGGTTCCCGGCTTTGCTTCTGGCTCCTAGACTCCTTTCCTGATCTCTCAGAGGGTTGTTGTCTGGGAAATTTCCCGGGTCTGCTCTGTTTGTTAGAGGCAAGCAAGTGCTCTCATTTAAGAGAGGCTTCCTGACTTAGCTTGCCGCTCTTTTAAGAGGTCCTGCCACTAAACACTTAAACTGTGTTGAGGAAAAGCTGAACGCATGCTTTTCGGTTTTCAGCCATAGAGGGAAAGCTATGCAATTTTAAAATGCTGGCTTTCTGGGCCATCTTGCCAGGGCAAACTCTGACTCTTTGAGGCAGGAGGTCAGCTACAGAGAGAGCATTTGAGTGTTGCAACTTGCTTGCTGGCAGGGACCTTGAAATGGCATAGAGTTGTGACAGTGAACAAGGCTCTGGCCAGTACCTCTATCATGAGGCTGAAATCTTAGAAAGCTAAGAAATGGGTTGGATTAGCTGTCAAAGCCACGACTTTAGTTCTACCAATATTGCTTAGTAAATTAAGGGCTCATGTGATCAGAAAAAGAGAGAGATATACAGTAAAGATAGATTCAAAGATGAAGAAAACCTCTAAATGGTTTACTATGTGTTAAAAATATATACAGGCTAAAGGTTAAAGTTCTTAAAGTAAAGAAAGAAAGAGAGTAGTTGGGTGTGGTGGTACACCTTTAATCCCAACACTTGGGAAGCAGAGGTAGATTGACCTCTGTGACTTCAAGGGACAGAGGTAGATTGATCTCTGTGACTTCAAGGTGTGGTAGCATACGCCTTTAATCCCAGAGTTTGGGAAGCAGAGGCAGACAGACCTCTGTGAATTCAAGGTGTGGTGGCAGACACTTTTAATCCCAGCACTGGGGAGGCAGAGATAGATGGATCTCTGTGAGTTCAAGGACAGCCTAGTCTACAGAGTTATTCCAGAACAAAGATATACAGAGAACCTGTCTCAAAAAAAGTAAAAGTAAAACTAAAAGAAATAGAGGTTAAAGTAAAGCACTTAAAAATGGAAAATATACAGAAAATTTTGATACTGTATGCTACTATGCTCTCTTTAAATTGTTTGAATGCTGAGGAAAGAGCAACAGTTGCTAAAAGATATTTGCTTATAAATGCTGCTGAATTAATCCAAGATAGGTATTCTGAAAATATCTTTACTCCAAACTTGAAGTCAAAACATATGCTACTTTGGAGAAGAGATTTTGTTTTTGTTTCCACAGGAAATAAGAGGCTGTGGATTCATTCTGAGATAAGAAAAATTCAGTTTGATCAAGGAAGACCACCTGAGAAATCTCTGGTACAAACAAATGGTCCAGATGTCTACATCCAGAATAGATTCAAGACTGCTGCCTGAGATGATCAAGACTCACAGGATACTCCAGTCAGGACTTGATGATAATTCTAAATTTTCTTTAGGTTCCCATAAGATTATCAGTGCCCCCAACCAGCAGAAAGTAGCCTGGAATACTCCTCCCACATTCCCAAAAAATGGGATATGAATATTTCCCTTTGTTTAAGAAAAATAGGGGGAAGTGGTGTGGGAGAATTGTCTGTATTCTGTCAATCATATTTTAAATAAATGTTGATTGGCTAGGCAGGAAGTATAGGCGGGTCAACCAGAAAGGAAGTAGAGGCATGGTGATGAGAACAGGAGTATTCTGGGAAGCAGGAAGCTCCCTCCACAGTTCTGCCCAGACCACCGGAGAGGCAAGATGTAAGCTTCCCCGCTGAGAAAGATACTGAGCTGTGTGGCTAACATAGATAAAAATAATGGGCTAACATAAGTTATAAGAGCTAATATGTAGCCTGAGCTAATGGGCCAATCAGTTTATAATCTTATGGAGTCCTCTGTGTGATTTTCTTTGGGGCTTGCTGGATGTGGGGTACTGGGTGGGACAGATACCCCAACAACCAGGCCCCTCCATGTTATAGCACACGTCTTTAATCCAAGCACTTCTGAGGCAGAAGCAGGTGGATCTTTGTAAGTTTAAGGTCAGCCTAATCTATAAGAGATAGTTCCAGGACAGCTGGAACTGTTACACAGAGAAACCCTGTCTCAAAAAAAAAAAGAATGCTTTGAACTCATAAATAGATTGTAAGATTTAGTGAGCAGTTACAATTTTTATCTGTACTTAGACTTGGTGACTAAGTAAGTGGTATAATAGTGGTTTTATTTAAAGTAAAAATTTAAATTAATTAGAATATTTTTGGTTTTACTAAAAACCAAATATTTTAGGAGAATGTGTCTTATTTCAATGCAGATTTTACTCAACATTTTTATTAATATCATCATTATTATTATTTCTTTTTTTGAGACAGGGTTTCTCTATGTTGCTTTGGAACCTGTTCTGAAACGAGCTCTTGTAGACTAGGCTGACCTTGAACTCACAGAAATCCACCTGCCTCTGCCTCTCAAGTGCTGGGATTAAAAGTGTACGCCACCATTGCATGAACAGTTTTGTTATTCTTTAAGAGAGTAACTAAGCATCACCGTCTCATTTTTATATCACAAATGTAGGAGGAAGGAGTTTAGTTCATAGCAGGTACCCCATAAGTGTTAATTTCTTTGTGTCAGCTTTCAGAGTTTATTTCCCATGAATATTAAATTTTTTAAAAAACAATTTATTTATTTATTTATTTAGTATACAATATTCTGTCTATGTGTATGCCTACAGGCCAGAAGAGGGCGCCAGACCCCATTATAGATGGTTGTGAGCCATCATGTGGTTGCTGGGAATTGAACTCGGGACCTTTGGAAGAGCAGGCAATGCTCTTAACCACTGAGCCATCTCTCCAGCCCATGAATATTAAATTTTAATAGATTTTGTATTCTTCAGAGAATGTGTCTAGATTCTTCCTGTCTTAGTCAATATTCTACTACTCTGAACATACAGCATGACTGGGACAACTCTTATGAAAGAAAACATTGAATTGGGGCTGGCTTACAGTTTCAGAGGTTTAGTCCAAGATTGTAATGAAAGGAGGGAAGTATGGTTGTCAGACATGTTGTTCCAGAGGTAGTTGAGAGTTCTACATCTAGATTTGCAGGTAGCAGGAAGATAGAGAGAGTGACTGGGCCTGGCTTGGGCCTCTGAAACTCCAAAGCCCACCCTCAGTGACATACTTCCTCCAACTAGGCCATACCTACTCCAACAATGGCATGTACACTCCATTAAAGTCACACCTCCTGTTCTCTCTCAAGTAGCATCACTCCCTAATGACCAAAAATTCATATGGGAGCCATTCCTATTCAAACCACCACACACTTCCTATCAGGCCACTATAAGAAAGCATTGTATTTTGTTACTTAATATAATTTTAGAGTATTGAGGTCATAGTGCAATAGGATTTTAGAATATGGATTCTCTCTGATGCCTGCATTTTCTACTCTATAATGTAGTACAAGAGATTTTGTCAAGACTGTTTACAGTTACTAATTACTCCTTCCTTCCTTCCTACCTTTTTCCTTTCTTATTTTTTCTTCCTCTCTCTCTGTCTGTCTCTTTATTTTAATATAGGGTCTTGCTATATAGACCAATTACCCTTAAATTCACTATATATGCTAGATTTTACTTCAATTTGTGATCCATTTACCTCAGCTTCCCAAGTGATAGGTTTACAGGTTTACACTCAGCCATCAATAACCTCTTGAACATCAGAAGTTTCATTGTCTTTTCCTTATTGGCTAAAGTGAATATAAGATACTCAAAATAGAAAAAGAAGACCTTATCTATAAGCAGATGTTATTTTAAATATAACTGTTATTATCAGGTAGAGTTATACTAACTTAACTGAAATTTTTCTCCTTAAAACAGATTTTTTTTTGTTAGAAAGGTCATGGTTCTCTCAGTCTCTCAAGTAGATAGTTTTACCTTAAAAGAAAATTTCTTTAATTAATTTAGTCTATTTGCTAATTTCCCTTACTTTTCCATATATATTGGTTAATTCTATCAATTTTGTTTCTTCAGAGAACCCTAATACACTATCATATTAATGGCTTATGCCTTTAATAGTTAATTTAATTTTTGAGACGTTATTTGATGGGGTCCTTAGTGATACACAGGTTTTCTGATTGAAAAAAATCAGATAAAAGTGTTGATTACATTAAATACAATAAAATAAAGTATGAACTTATGGAATAAGAAATTTAAAGTTGATGACTTTGAAAATTCTTTAGCAATTACACACACACACACACACATACACACACACACACACACACACACACACACACAATTGCTGTATAGTTCTGAATGACATTCCCAGGTCTAAGAAAAATGTTTACTTTGACAGTCAGTATACTTTCTCTTCCTTGACTGAGCAATGATACATACAAATCAAGTATACAAGATTTTGATTCTTAAATAGTAGACAATAATGTGAAATATATAGGCAGATAGTGTTCTAAAGGCAACTGTTATTATAGAATAGGCAGGTTTAAAAGTTTACATTTTTCTTATTTGATTACTAAATGCTTCAAATAATTTTTCAGTTTGTCTATCTCACAGAAAACATATCATCTTATAAATAAGCACTTAATTTTTAAAGAAATACTTGCTTAACTCAGTAATTTCTGAAAAGTACTGAAAAATTTTGTACACTTTCAACTTAAAACCATGATAAATCTCAAGCTAGAGCAGAATTTGATGACAGATTTGGAGCTAATTGACCTTCTTGGTTTTGTCATTAGAAACATGTCTTGCTAGAAAATGTTAATGTTTTTATTTTTTAATTAAAATTTACATTTATTTATTGCATATGGAAATTTACATGCCATGGTGTGTGTGTGTGTGTGTGTGTGTGTGCGCGCGCGCACGCACGCACACGCGCATGAGTGTGTGTAGAGGTCAAAGGACAAATTTCAGGAATAAGTTCTATCCTTTCACTGTGTAGACTCCAGAGATTGGACTAAGATTTTCAGCCTGGCAAGAAGTGACTTTACCCACACAGTCATTTTTGCTGACCTGGAATATGTTCATGATCTTTTGAACACTCCATGGAAGGTAACAGGGATATTAGTCTCCACTTCAGCCCTTGCAACTTCACTGAAGTCTTTGGCATTCAGAATCAGGAGGTATGCAGGCTTTTGTCCTGCTCCAGGACTCACCACCACGCTCAGAACTACACCTGTTAATTAAGGCCATTTTGAAATTTTGAAATCAGGTCTTAAGATTATCTGTCATTAAAATTATGTAGATAGTAAGATGGTATTGCATTATCAAATATAGAAAACTATGTGACTTAGCTTGTTCTGGCTCTTCAATTACCTGGCTGTGTGACCACTTGAAAGAGTTCTCTAAAATGCTCCTTCCTAGACTAGGACCACCCCAGAAAAGGAAGGATCTTGTCTTTGTCTCTTACAGCTGCAACCACAGCATCTTACTACAATTATTAGATCAAAGTAGAAACTCATCAATGTTGACTAAGTTAATGGATCTATGTTCTTATCTGTAACATAATACTATAGTCTTTGTTCTATTTACTACAAAAAGTATGACAAAGTAAAAATGTATGCTTTAAAACTTTTAAAGCAAAAGGGTGTGTCTTAATTATAATTTTTAAGACCTATATGTAAGTTAATTCTTCCAGACAAAATAAAAGCATACCTTTTATACTTTAGAATGAGCATTATGACTGTACAAACTATTTATCAGAAAATGATCCCTTATTTATTTCATTCTTCTACACTTTTTCATATGTTAATATATTAATCTTGTAGAGTATAATATATTTCCCTATATCTGCATTAATTTTTAAAAGTCATCTTGTTTTTATGTGTATGAGTGTTTTGCCTGTATAAATGTCTGTGGACTTATCTATATGTATGGTGCTCATAGATGCCAGAAGAGGATACTGGAAAACTCAAATTATAGCTGGTTGTGGTCTATAATGTGGGCAAAGGGAGTTGAACCCAGATTTCACAAGAGCAGTCAATGTTCTGAGTCACTGACCTAGCTCTCCGTGCTCCTACCATTAATGCCTAATTGAGATTGTGGATATGTATTGCAGTTGCTCAATTATATGCTGAGGCTTTGAATTCTTTCTTAGCCCAAACTTACTAAAACAAAGAAACAAACAAAAAAACCACTAGAGTTCCAGAGCTATGCATTCATTGATCTGCTAGAATATTCTATTTGTCTTCTATAACTCTACTACTTTGTCAAAATATATTTTGGTTAGGAAAGGCAAATACCTAGAATTATTGCTGTCACAATAATTATTGCTGTCACAAATGTTTTCTCATCACTTCCATTGAAAGTTCCAGTGTGACGCAAAAGGTGTTTTGCTGTGGTTATTTTTGTTTGCTTATTTGTTTTTACTATTAGCAATCAATAAGACCTGATCACAGATGAAATTTCAATTCTTGAGTGTTGTAAAATTCACAGTTTAAGAATCACTTTTGAAAGTTAGGGAAAAATCAGCCTAACCCCTTTCCTAATATCAAACACACAGAGTTTCACCACATAGGGAAGTTCAAACACGTGTTGCTTTCATTACCATCATCTTCTTCCAACGCATCTGGATGACAAACAAAGATGGGTTCAGATGGGTAAGAATCTGGCTCTTGCCATATCCAGATTTCTTTAGTTTTGACATTCAGCTTACAGAGCTGCTTGTGCACAAGAAAAAGGAATTGGTTAATTTATGAGCTGCTTTAGTCGACTAGCACATGACATAAATATTGGGTGTTACTAAGGTGCTTCATTACCTTGTCTGGAACAAAGTGATTCAAACCAAGTCCATATGCATAGGTGTAAGGATTCCCCCCATATTTCCGATAATTTATTTGGGGAAATTCAAAGGCTTCAAAACAGAACACAGACATAGGAAAACTCAGTCTCTTTAAGTAGGATATCTTCGCTTTGTAATGTTTTCTTTAGATCTGCTTACCTTGACGGGGCCCCGAAAAGAGAATCTCAGGTTCCAGCCAGATGGTTTCATCACTGCAAAGAATGGCTGTGGCAGTTGTATGGGCAAGTGTGACTAAATTCTTGCCTGTGTCAGCCTTAGGAAGAAGATAACGGAGACCTCAGTGATCAGGGAAGGAAACTCAAGCATCTGTTAATGTAGACTTCTCAAATTTTGTCCGCTCTTTTCAGAGGTCACCATATAGGGAGAAACAACAACCAAAAAAGCAGACTAGAGGGCTGGCTACTGTATCAGATCAGAAAGTCTCTTAGATGGCGTATTGGCAGGTTATAAGTAATTCACTGGAAACATCGATGAATATGTTTCAGAAGCACCCAGGGATTCTCTAGTGGTAATTAGGAGAGCTTGTGGGGAGCTAGTGGGTTTAACTTGTGTAAGGCATATGGGTTATAGTGAGGACCTGGACTCTCACTGTGGATAAATGAGGGGAAGCTACAGAGGGTTTTCTGTAGATAAGGAACACACTGTGATTTATTCTTAAAGAAATCCTTCTGATTGCTTTGTTGAGTCTACACTTGGGTATTTGTTTTGTGAATGTGGATAGTAATGAAAGATTAGACTCAGCAAAACCAGTTTGTTTTATAGAAATCCAGTTTAGAGAAAATGATTATAGCTAGGCTGCTAACATTAGAGTCTGTGAGACAAGGTAGATGGGAGTTGACAGTTTCCTGGTGAATGGAGTTTGAAAGTGAGAGAGACAGTAACCCTGCACCATGGTATCTAATCTAAACAATTAAAGGTTCGTATGGTCCCAGAATGCTTGAAATTGTTACAGGTGAGTATACTTTTTGGTGGTGGTGGGGAGATTAAAAAAAATCAGGTTTTGTTTATAAATATTAAATGGAAAAGTGGAGGTGGCGGTTGATAACTTGAACCTTGAGATTCATAAACCTGGAAAGATATTATGAAGGGTACTTTACAATAATATGTCTAAGCAGTGGGGATACTGAAAGACAGCATGGGAGCAAAGGCTGAGTGATAGGGCCTACCAGTAAAGGAAGGTGTAGTAGTTTATCGAGGCAAAATGTGTTGAGAGGTCTTAGTGAGGATATTATGTTTATTAATTATGGCATAATAAAATAGCAGGAAAGGATGATCTGAAATGGAGGGAGGAAGGGGAGGATTGCTGGAGTGATGTATCTACTACAAGAATGAAAAAGATTAGCTCTGGTTAGAAAGATGGATATTCAGGATATAGGTACAGATGATGGTGGGTGATATATGAGGCAGCAGGATTGTGTGATTCTTTTCTGATTACTTTAATGCTTTAGATAAAGAGAAAGCATCAATATTACACATGAAAGTGGTATGGAAAGTATAAAAGTGAGGAGAGGAGGAGGACTAACTAGCAAAAGCAAGACAATATGTGAACTTAGGAAATAAAATAGTACGATTTGTGGTCAGACATTTAAAGCTGAAGCAATTAGCATGACTGTGTGTTCACAGCACTTAAATTTAGGTGAAGAGGTACAAATATAGAAAGGAGAGATAATCTAACTGAACTATGATGTGATTTTTGACAACTCTGATAAACAGGTTAAGTAAATGATTATCTACAAGGATGTACAAAGTCATTGGCCATGACAGATAAATTGAGTGAAAATGAAAAGTGAATTTTTCAGGGTATCAAAGGATAGTAAGTGATACATTCAATAGAAGGAAATTTATATAAGTAGGGTATGTAATATTAAAATATAAAAGGTACAGCTAGAGAATGGAGTGAATGGAATTTAGAGAGCATTGAAATTGCAAATGATCATTTATATTCTAAAAGGCATTTTAGATTTAGGCTGTCAACTATCCAATCTGTTCTCCATGCCATTTTGCTAGAGGGAACCATGTCATACATACACCCTACACACTTAAACTTCCTCAGTGAGCCCTTACCAATTATATGCTATCCAGAGTCTGAAAAAGAAAGCCCCTGTATAGTCTCACTCCAATCCATCTTTCCAGCATCTTCTCTGCTCACCATGAGACATTCCAGGGACTCTGTTACACATCTTTGTTAAGTTTCATTTGCTTTTTTATATTTGGAACTCTTTGCCTTTACAGAAGTTTTTTTTTCCTATCTGCAGAGCCCAATTTCAGCCAACTATCATTCTTTTTCAGTTTGCAAATTTGTTTAAAGGCAAGAGAATACCTAAGCTACTTTTGCTTTGCTTTACCTGATTGAAGTCTTTTGTTCAATGTAACTGTCTCAATATCTTTTGTCCAAATAGGTAAGCACATAGTCAAAGAGAGTATGTTATGTGTTCATGTGTTTACATGAGAAAAAAAATCATATTTTTCTTGGTTTTGACTAGTATTTCTATTTCACTAAATGTTTTGGATGTTGTTGGTATTATTCTGAAATACTGAAGAGAGAGACAAACATGTAGAAATAAAGACATGGTTGTGTGGGGGTTCAGAAAGCCAGTTCTTCAGACATTCATGAGAACTGTGTTTTCTGATTCTAGATTTGCCATTCTTCAGCACTAAGTTCCTTTAAAAAGCATACTTTCTTAATAGTAGTATAGACCCACTGATTCCTACTGTGTATCATAGATGGGTAACAGCAGGTTCAGAGTGGACTTTCCTACAAGTCACCTTGTATACTTAAGTAGAGTCTCATAGTTACCTTCAAACTTTTCATTTCCAAAGGAAGATTAAACTAACATCACAGAAGAAAACATGTCTGCATTCCAATCATTGTTTCAGAGACTGTCTGCTCTCTAGGTTATTATTTTATGAAAATCACCCTTCTCTATAATGTTCATGGATGCCGACTTTCTTTTACTTTATCAAGAGAGTATTTAAGACTCAACTTTGAGTTTCATGCCTTTTAAAGTTTCATATTTATATATTAACAAATTTTAATGCTATTTCTCTTGCCAGTATGCCTACTGCATTTATTTCATTTACTAAACCTCCAGAGGGATATTCTGATACCCCATAATAATCAATAATATTATTATTTTTGTTGTCTAATGTCATCTTCAGATTTATAGAAAACCAAATTTCCTTTATAAATTAACTGAGTCCTTGCAAGAATGCTCTCGGATCTTTCACATCACCATAATTTAAAATTATTTACAAAATTTATACAACTGCCAAAGGATTCTAGGAGTCACTGAGTCTATAGTCATTAAATATGCTTTCAAAGGGATTTTGTGATTGAAAAAACCATGGAATTAGAATCAATAAAACTACATCTCATCTGGGTTCTGTGGAAGGTGTCTTTTCTAAACCACAGAAGTTTTTTTCAGTTTCAGTTTCCTCATTTTGTAAAATGAGAGATTTAGTTAGTATTTTTAAAGCTTGTTCCAGATCTGAAATGTCAAGATTATATGTATAGACATGATAGTTTCCAAGAGAGATGAATCATAATTGTATGATTATGATCAACCTTGTCAATTGTCAAAGGAAGTACATATCTCCTGACTTCAGGCTGAGGAGCCTTCATGGCATTTCTTTTCACTTCTTCCCAGTTCTCACGTAAATTGGCTAAATATAAGTAATTATAAACAAATTCAAACCTGTGAAAACAAGAATTCAAGCATGAACACAATTACAAATAATTTGTCTTGTTTTGTTTTGAGGTAGGGTCTAATGCAGCATGGGCTGGCCTTGAAATTAAGATCTTCTTGCCTATTCCTCCCAAACACTGGGATTTAAAGCATGCACTATTATACCTAACCAATTAAAAACAATTTTAGAGATGATTCATGACTTTGAAAGCAAACACGGCTAGTTCTTTAAGCCACAACTAAGACTGCTATTGAGAAAAAGAGTCTCATAACATTTCCTCTTCCCACTCACTGAGGGAAAAATAAAGAGGTCTGCTCATGCATATGTTGCAGTACCAGCAGTCTTATATATTCTTTGTTCTGCTTCCCTGCTTCCACTCTGTGTCTTTAGGAATCAATGTATTTTTAATGACTAGCCAGAGGACAGCTTGTGTGCTTTTCTTCTTCAGAATGAGGGAGGATTTAAGGAACCTTTCAGAACTTACGAAATTTAAAGTTACTTTTAGAGTCACAGAACCTTCTATTTTCAGGTCTGCTTCAGATCCAGTTGGTTTTGGTTTTTAACTATTGTTCTGACGGCCAGTCTAGTTCTGATTTTCTAAACTCTCTGATCACTATCAATTACACTTTTTACTATTTTATACCACTTCATTTTTCACATATTCATGATAAACAATAAGGACTCCTATCTCTATTAAAGCTCTTTGTTTCCAGAAGAAATTGGAGATGGGGCATTTATCCAACTTATTTTCTTACCCTTTCCAGCAGCAGAGGTCCACAATCAGAAACCCATTGTCTTCGTAAGTATTGATATGATGAAAGAGATTGAAAGGGGAGGTCCTGTATTTATTATTGAGACACTTTCTTCTTTTTTTGTCAGCAACATGAAGCCAAACCTGGAAAAGTAGGAAATTTTTTTGAGAAATTTATAAAGGAAAGAAAATATAAAGTACTTTCCTCAGCATCACAACTTAACAAATAAATCAGACATACCCCCATGCTTTCATTGGACTCAAAACAATCCATGTAGTTGGCTCCCCAAAGACTCCATGAAGAGAGGAACTTGAAAAGATTAATTTTGACTGGAGTCTCCACAAAAACGATATAGTTGGGAGTCAGACCAAAACTGTTCGGAAAGACAAATGTGTTTGTGAATGGGCAGGCTAGTTCTTGGTTACTAAGAAATAGGTTTACACACAGTATATTTAGTTATTCAGGTCTATAATGTTTACATAAAATCGATTAGTTTTAAACTCTTGTTTCTACAAGGAACTGTCTTGATCAGGTAGACAAATGAGATCTTTATATATGAGCTTTTCTTCAAATTACCTGTGTACATAAGATGGTTTGAACCGATCACTGCAGGGAAACTGCACAACGATTTCTGACTTGTTTATTGGATCTTCCTTGTCTGAAATAAAGTTGTTTTAAAGGCTTTTGATCATCATAATTATCATAATAACCCTCCTCATCATCTTCTTTTCCTTCATATAAAGCATTTTAAACAGTTTATACAAGCAAAAAGTGCATTTCTGGGTGTATTTTCAGATCTTTTTTTTTTTCAGAATGTGTTTTCATCTCCTCAGTCACTGGGCTATCTTAGTGGAGTTTCTTGTTATTAAGGTGTTCTTGAGTGAGTGGTGGTTACCTAAGGGTGCTGCTAAGCACCTTCTGGAGTAAGAACAAAAATTTGTATGCCTTAGAAAGAAGCCTCACTCAGGAAAGTGAAGAGACAGTTGGATGGGGGCGCATTTACGTGCTATCAGCTAAAACTTCCGACAGAAGACAAGAAAGTGGCAGCTGAGGGTACTGTACAGATAGTAACAGGTACAGCCCTTAGGGCATCTGATGGGATGAAACTGAGTTATAGATGGACATTTAAAGAACACACACTCCAAACTGGAGTTTAACAAACTGCTCCTGTTGAAGACATAGGAGAAACTCCAGAGGCCAAGTCCACTCTGAGTTTCTAGGTAGGACTTTTTATAGGTTCTTAGGGGTTCCCTTCTCTCAGGCCTCCCTCTTTTTTTCTGGCCCTGATACCCTCCCTTCAATAGGCTCTTTTCCTTCAACCTTTCATTTACAGTCAGAAACAGTGTCAGTCTCTTTCAGGGAGGGGAAGCTACCCCCACCCTGGAAGCACCAAGCTGCTCTTCTTTAATAGGCTCATCTCATTTCTTAGTTCCGTCCATCTTCTGCTGAGTTCCCATCATTGTGAAGATGCCCTAACCTAGGAAAATTCAAACAGCAAGAAATTTGAAAAAACACACAGGTAAGAATACTACAGAGTCACATCTTAGAACAAGTGGAAGTCAGGTTTACGTCCAGGGAAGTAAAGCAGTGCTTTAGTGTAGACAAAACTCCCTCATAGTATTGTAAAGTTCCTTAAAAGTACAGTATGGATGAGTGATATCAACAGTTCTGTCCAATAAATACTATACATGATAAAGTTCATACATGAGAAAATAATATAAATGACTTTTTAAATCATGGTAAGGTCCTCACTCCCAAAATTTCTCAGTCTACTCAAAGAAGAACTCAATATTTTGCTTGGCATATGAATAAGTGCTCAATAAATGTTTGCTAATTATAAATTTAAATAATATTTAAATACACATGCACTAGGTCTTGAAACATTGTAGAATAGAACTTGGCCCCTTGATTTCTGGAGTTTGAAGTCATCATTGTTTATTGTCTTGCCTCTGGATGTTAGTCATCTGATAGGACAGGAATGAGAGAAATCTTATCAGGCCTGAGAATAATTCTGATACTATATATATCCTCTATTTCCAGCACTTTTGAAAACAGACTCACTTGCTTGTAGTGGAGGGATCTTAATAATGTTGTAGGCAACTGAAAAATTTTTCCCAAAGCAATTGCCAATATTGTAAACAGTTCCATCACTTTCAATATGTGGGTGAGCTGTGGCACCATTGACTGAGACGTAGTTGCAAAGATCAACCTGTGGAATAAAACACGGATGTTGGGGGTCCTGTCAGCTTCAGTTGTAAACTATGTAAAAAAGAGCACTGGGTATATTATTGAGGTTGAGGTCAATAAACTAATACCAGAATATCCAAACTCCTTTCTTTTATCTCTTTAAAAATAACATTACATTAATGTTATTTATAGTCCTGAATTCCATGATTGATCTTCTAGATCAATCCTTTGTACTCCCATTTCTAAGTAAACACCTTAAAGTATAAATGCTTGTATAATTCCTATGAGCAAAGACTTTCAGTAACTTTCCATCAGGAAAATAGTTTCTTTCAAATTTCTAGCCAGTTATTTAAGCTTTCAGATTTATGCAATCTCTTTTGAAACTACTTACTGATCCCTTTGAAACTACTTACACTTCTAGATGACTGGTTTCAATTTAAAGATTGACCCCTACTTTAAAATATCTGAACCATTTTTGAATTGCATAGTGATCAAGGACATTTCTGGTATCTAGTGGACAAGATCAGGATCAACAGCCCTTCAGTTAACAGTCATCTCCTGCCCAAAGTTTCCACAGAGAACTGCTGCATGTCTAGTCCAAAAGATTATTCTCAGTTTATGAAAAAAGGTCCCTTATTTTCTCCATCTCTGTGACTTTGATAATGCAACCCTCATTCTAAATGTTCTTTTACCAAATTCACTGAAGCTACATGTATTCTCTACCCTAAACAAATTCTTTGAGACATACTTTTGCATCTGCTTTTCTTAGGTCTATATACATTCTTGAAAGAATCACTACATTCTGAATCCTGCTATTGGGTTCCTCTTTGATTTCCCCATCTAGAGCTTAAGCTTACTAAAGACAAGAACAAAACCTTGAAAAATGTGTTAATACATACTGGTTGAGACTGTGTGTCTATTTTAAGAAATACCCAAGAATACTGCATAAGTCATCAGTAAAATATGTCATTTTTGAATATTTTGATTAATACTATTCTATTAAAAATACAGCTTTATTTATAATAAGAGGTATCTACAAGGGACAAATTGGTGCAGCATAGTTGTTTAGAACTACCAATGGCAGGTTTTCAACATTAATAGCTAATTTTTGAATACTGGTGTTTATATATTATGGGTCGGAGATCATACTGTGATACTCATTGATATATCCCTTGTATCTTACAAAAGTTTTGATACATGGAAAAGTCTCAGAGAGTATTTGTGTTACAAATGAATGAATGTTAGTTGTTTTAAGTGGTTTATTCCCATCTATGTATTGAAAATGTCATAGGTTAAGAAAGAAATTTTAATCAGGCGTAGTAGAGCACACCTTTAATCCCAGCACTTGGGAGGCAGAGACAGGCAGATCTCCATGAGTTTGAGGCCAACCTGGTCTACCAAATGAGTTCCAGGACAGGCTCCAAAACCAGAAAGAAACCCTGTCTCAAAAGAAACAAAAACAAAAACAAAAAAGAAAAATATATCACCATTCATATGTTACATATCTAGCAATTGGTGACCAGGAAGAAGTTGAAACTTAATCTGTCTCATGTTCTTTCTCTTGAATTTATCCTAACGTTTTAAATCTAAGTTCCTAACTTTATGTACTTGAGCAATATCCTCTGAGCACAATGTCCTACCTGCTTAATTGTCTCCAAGGTCTCTGGGTTAACTTTTGTGATAAAGTTGGTCTCTGTACAGGCATAGTAATCTTCTCCCACTGGGTATATATTTACAAGGGCATTGTCAGTAATCTCCACTCCTCGAAAGTAAGAAAAAAACCTGCAGAAGCAAATGATTTTCTAGTTTATTAACATTTAGGTTTCATGAACAAAAAAGGTTGATATAAAGTGCAGTTTGATTTTATTAACCTGGAAAATATATTCTTGCAGGGGTCTGGGAAAGCATAGGTGCCAAATTCTGTTATGACAATCCTCTTCTCGGTCATTGCCCGGACATAAGCATCGGTGCGGATAAATCTGGAGGACATTGAGAAATGGAGAAAGGATACATTCGTGCAGGACACGTGGAGCTGGGAGTCACTCAGTATGTTTTCATCAAACTGGAATCATGAACTCAAAAAGAATGGAGAGAATGATCAGCTCCTGTGTTCGATAGGGAAACTGAGGTGCCAAAAGTTAAATGATTGACATATGTGATTGAAACAGTGGTCAAAGTTAGACAAAGTGAATGTCTTATATCATACACAGTATAATCAGTAGTTTTCATTAATGTGACATAAACTAGAGTCTTTGGGGAAAAAGGGAACTTTAGTTTAGAAGATGCCTCCATAGTCTTCCAATCCTTCAGATTTCCTTTATAAATCCATGGGGCATTTATTTTTAAATTAATGATTGATACGAGAGATTCCAGTTTACACTGGGTGGCACCATAACTGAGCAGGTGGTATAAGAAAGCAGGCTGAAGTCTGGAATGAAGGTTCAGCCATCAAAATCATTGGCTTCTCTTCCAGAGGACTTAGATTCAATTCCCAAAACCTGTGTGCTGGTTCATAACTGTAATTTTATTCTCAGAGGATCTGGCACCCTCTTCTGGCTTCTGCAGAAAATGAATGAATGTAGCACAAGCAGTCAAACATACCATGAACTAAAATTTCCAAAGACATATTTAGAAAGAAAGGAGAGAGAGGGGGAAAGAGAGAAGAGAGGAGGGGAAGGACATGCAAACCAGTAGGCAGTATTCAGCATTTCTCCATGGTCCCTGCTCTATTTCCTCAATCCTTCCTGACTTGGCTTTCCATATTGATAAACTGTAAAGTATAAGATGAAATAAATCCTTTCCTCCCCAAGTTACTTTTGGCCGTAATTTTTATTACAGAACTAGAAACTAATTATGACACATGGGTTCTTCACACACATAACTCATCACATTATAGGATACAATGTACTGGGTTACATTCTTTTCATTATCCCTTTGACCTTGTGTTTCTTAATTTCAGGATTCATTGTATACTTTAAAACTTAATTATTATTGAATTTTGTATCTTCCAAGGATAAATAGCAGACAATACATCTGCTGAGCTATTTCCCAGACTACCTGGCAAATGCTGCCTAAGGTTTATCACATGGAGGGCAAAGTAAATTCTGATTTTTTGTGTTTATGAAGAGGACTGTATATGAAAGTATACATTAGAAGATATATGAAAACTTTGTCTAAACTCCAAATTTGCTTTCCTAGAAAAAATTTATGCTTGGCAGACCCTATCTCTCTTTTGCCACATTTCAAATCCTATTTCCAGTTTCCCCTTACTCTTCCTTTGACATCTCTTCAAAACACTTGAAATTCATAGTGATCATACCACTAGTAGGCCTGAACATTCAAATAGGAATCAGGGCATTGACTGTGTTGATGTGGGGGATTCTCAAAATGCTGACTTTAGCAATAACTATTTATTTACTGTTTATCTTTTTATTAAAATTTTTATTTCTAAAATTATTATGTGTATTACATTTGACCTGCATGCATGTCTGTGTCCTACGTGTGTGCTTGTTGACCACAGAGGCCAGACAGGTCATTAGTTTTTCTTGGTTTTGAGTAGCAGACAGTTGTGAACTGCAGCAGCCATGGTGTGAGAATTGAATCCTGGATCCTTTGGCAGAGTACCTACCGAGTCTTTGCTCTAGCCCTTTAGTAAATAACTCTTGTTAAAAAACTTTATGTTGAGAAACCTTGTCTTGAAAAACAAAATTAAAAAAATAAAAAACTTTGTGTCTGTCTTTCTCTGTGTCTCTCCCCTCCCTCTGTATGTTTCTGTTCTGTATGGGTCCATCTATCTCTGGTGTTTCTGTGACATATTTGACTCTTCCCTCTTTTGTACTACCCTTTTCCCAGTTCCTAAAAAATTTTTAAACACTTGTTTTTGTGTGTGGTGTACATGTACAAGTGCCACTGAATGCATATAGAATTCAGAGGACAGCTTGCTGGAGTCAGTTTTCTACTACCATGCAAGAATTGAACTCAGGTGGTCAAGCTTAGTGGCATGTAAAGTTTACCTTCTGAGTTTTCTCATCAGCCACCTTCTCAGATCTTTCTAATGATAAAAATGAAAGAAAACAAGATTAATAGTAGTCTATCAATTACATTAATAGCAGCTTTTCTTCATACTGAATTCTTAGTATTCATTTAGTCATGAGTGTTGAGTAGATTCATTTCTTGCATTTTACAGATGACAAATGAAAGAATTAGATGCCGATTTCCTTCCATAAGTCATCAGTGAAGACAAACAGTGCCTGGTAGATTCAGGATTTGAGAGCAGCCATGTTTGGCTCTGAGCCCTTGACCCTAGTTATCCCTATTTTAGCATTCTAAGGTGACCCTGCCATTATACAGACCTTCATAGAGCATGAAGAAATAAGAAAGAAATGAGTTTGGAGGTCTGTTGTGTGTTCAGGAAGATGAAAGTTCACACAAGGAGAAAACTGAAATAGGATCTACTACGCTGAGGACAGTCATATAACAGTGCTGATTTACCTCCTATGGTATGTGACGTGGCCCTCCTTAAAGTCAAACTTGTGTAAAAGGGCTTGTCCATCAAATAGGTGATAGAAGGGCTCAGATCCAACTTCAAAGAGCCCTGGCCCACATCGAAGGAGACTGCCAGCGAGCCAGAGGGGAATTCTACCTGCAACAAAATGAGAGAGCATGTGGTAACTCTTACTAGATTCACTACATGCCTGTCCATTTGTAAATGAGAGAGCATGTGGTAACACTAGATTCCCTAGATGCCTGTCCATTAGTCAACTTAACTTTGGACAGGACATCAGGTTTTCTTATGTAATTTGGTGGATTGAAATGTAGAGTGATTTTAGGAGCATGGATCAAAATTCTTCAACTAGGTAAGTTGATATAGAAAAACTTTTTTTTTTTTAAAAAAAAAATTTTGAGTCAAGGTTTCACTGAGGCGCCTTTAATGGTCTATACACAGTTTATAGACCAAATTGGCCTCTAACTCAGATTCATCTGCTTCTGTGTCCTGAGGACTAAGATTAAAGTTGTACACCACTATGCCCATATAGAAAAACCTTTTAAATGAAGCCACAGGAATGCTGAGTTTTTAAAATCTAAAATTCTCAGTTCTCTTGGGTGTAAATCAGCATGCTTGATGAAATTCATCCTCTGTGGCAGAGAAGGTACAGAGCTAGGTGTTAGGGCCTGAACTCAGATGCAGAATACTCTCTAAAAGCTTTTGTTTATTTGAAAATTGAGGGGCACCCAGGATTTCGCTGGGGATTTCCATCTTCCACAGTGAGGCTTGGTCTGTCCTCTTACTTCTAGAAAAAATGCAACATGTTTGTTTAATTATTACCCCATCTTTATTTTTTAACCAAACATATTGAAGCCTACAAATCAAGATTAATAGCCTACCAGACATTAGATAAAAACTGGAGGCTGGGTGGTGGGATGGTGCATGCCTTTAATCCTAACACTTGGAGGCAGAGGTAGGCAGTTCTCTGTTATTTAGAGGCCAACCTGGTTCACAAGAGCTAGTTCCAGGATAGCTATGACTGTTGCACAGAGAAATCCTGTTTCAAAAAACAAACAAAAATTTAGAAAACAATGTTTGCCTTGACTTAAAGCACATTCTTGGTGTTTGATACTAGAGCTACATTGTTAGTGCTACCACCTAGCTGAGAAGTATTAACTTTTATAAAACAGAAAAAAAGAAAAGATTTGCCTAAGCATTAACATTTCACATAGCATCATATTACACCCAACAAGGTCTGGATGAGTCACATGGAGTATTCAGACAGAGTTAATAATAGTAACAGTGATTGCTGTCTGTTGCTTACTTGGTGTCTAATACCGGGTTAGTCAATCTACTTAAATTGCCTCTTAGTCTTTACAATATCTCCACAAAATAAATGTTGATCTTTATAAAGTGAAGGATTTTTTTGGGTGTGAGCCTAGCCTTTAATGGCTGAGCTATATAACATAGATGTCCCTCAATTGAGGCATGGATAAAGAAAATGTGGTGTCTACACAATGAAATATTTGTTACTCAGCTGGGTGGGGGAACAATGACATCATGAAATTTGCAGGCAAATGGATGGAACTAGAAAAAAACATCTTCAGTGAGATAACCCAGACCAGAAAGATAAACAGGAGCCTTCATCCAGTAACGGATGGAACCAGATGCAGAGATCCACAGCCAAACACTGGGATGAGTTTCAGAAGTCCAGTTGAATAGAGGAAGGAATTATATGAAAAAGGGTGGGGTGTCAAGATCATGATGGGGAAACACACAAAGACAGATGTCTTGAGCTTCTGGGAGCTCACAGACCCTGGATCGACAGCTAGGGACTTGGCACAGGATGGACATAGACCCTCTACATGTGGGTAAAAATTGTGTAACTTGGTCTTTTGTGGGGCCCCTAGCTTTGGGACCAGGACCTGTCCCTGATGCAGGAGCTGGCTCTTTGGAACTATTCCCTATGGTACAATGCCTTACCCAGCCTTGGTGCAAGAGGGAAGAGTTTGGTCCTGCCTCAGCTTGATATACCATGCTTTGTTGATTCCCATAGGAGACCTTACCCCTTCTAAATGGAGACAGAGGAGGAGTGGATGAGGGGGTGTAGAAGGGAGGTGGAAAGAGGGAATGGGAGGAGAGAAGGTAGGGGAAACTGGTTGATATGTAAAATAAGTAAATAAATAAAATATTGAAAAATTAAAGAGAAAGAACTGAGGTCCATCCAAAAATGTTTAAGCTGCTAATAGGAACCACAGATGATGAAATAGTAGTTTTATAACAATACTATCATCTGCAAGTGCTTCTGATGTAACAGGCATAACACCACCAACTTTCAATGCAGAATTCTCAGACTCTTCTCACTAGGCTCTGATTTAAGACCTTTCTGGGCAGACACTCATATGACATTTTCTGTATATGGAGGACATTGAACAGGTACTGTAAAATTGAAGAGGACAAATGTATAGTTTTTATTGTCAAGGCATTTCAGTTCAATAACATATATCCACACTGAGAAAGCCAAGTGGAGATAAAGGAGAGGAAATAAATTCTTAATATTAATACCCAAGGTTCACAAAACAGCATCAGAAGCAATTCTCAAAGTCTTGGATGTCTTAAATCTGTTTCTTTTCATCTTATTCTTCATTTTTCTTCTAGGTTCAGATCCTTTCAATTTTTTTTAAATCATTCGCTCTGTTTATATACATATGGGCATGTGCCAAAACACATGGGGAGATCGGAAGACAACTTGTAGTTGGTTTCCTAGATGTGGTTTTTGGGAGCCAAACTCAGGCTTGTCAAGTTTGGTGGCAAGAACCTTTAACTTTACTTGCTGAGCTGTCTTACCTGCCTCATGGATATTTTTTCATGAAGTAATAAGTCTTGGGCTTGTAAAAACTCACTAGTTACACTAGACTTGTATTCAGGTTTATTCAATGTATTTTTATTTAGTAAAATATTTTAGAAGAAGACAAAATAAATGAGCTCCATAATCCCTTCCCTGTATTGTGGAAATATAACCAGTGCTGGGAAACCTGAATGAACATGAAACCTGAGAGAAATGATCTTGATAAAATTGAAAACTTTCAGCAGAGTCAAACTGTAGAGACCTAAATTCAGTACTCGAAGGCTAACGCAAGAGGGTGTCATATTTCACACGAACCCTGGCTATACAGAAAGACCCTAATTTAGAATATACAACAAACAAGGCAATAACAATGAGACTCACCTGTGACATGAGCTGTTAGTGGTGAGGACAGTTCCTCCACAGTTTCGAATAACTTCTTGTAACCACCAGCAGGATGTTCAATTCTAAAGCGTGCGGGTAATGAGAAAGAAGCCTAGGTTATTCTCAAAAAGTTCTAGGAGGTGAAAGACAGTGTCCTTGGAGAAAGAAGTTTTAAGAACTCCTTCCAGTTTGGCTGCAACCCAGTTTACTTAGGGTTTTATAAGGATGCTGCTTAGGACTTTCCTTCCATGTCAAAGAAACTTTTCCTAACCGTGACCATATGGTCCTAGTCCTACTTTCTGCAGTTTTTCTTGCCCCTGAAGGCATATCAACTAGTCCTGCTGTGTTCACTTCTCTTCCTGAATTATGATACCCACAAAGTTCTTCTCGAGAGCTACCCTGTCCTAGAGACACACAAGTTGAGGCATCTCTGACCTTCTTATGAACTCCTTCATTCACACAGAATGAGATCAGCATTCAGGGTTAGATGCACCACACTTTATTATTAACTATACTGTGCTATTAGCTTTTTCCATCATCTCATGTCTCTACCAATACTCAAGAGCTATAGCACTTTCAAAAATTAGGTCAAGAGATGCAGGTTCTGCAATGTTTTGTGTGTGTCTCTTTCTTTTGTCTTATCTTTGCTTCTGTTTTATAACTTATTAAATTGCAGCCCTGTCTAGACCTCTTAATTTTAATTACTGTTTATCAATTACTTATTATTAAACACTTTATAAAAAGAATTTTATATTATACTTGAACATTTAAGTCTCTCAATACTACAGTAGGGTAAGTAGTATTAATATACCACTTCTGAAGTTGAAAACCTTTAAGAATTAATTAGTTTAGGCTTAAAAGCATATGTAATTTACCAAAGACATACATCTAGGAAATGACTAGACAAGACATAAAACTCATCTTAATGTTCACAACTGCCTTCCAAGCCCATTGCAATCCATACAGATCTCTCACCACCATTTAAACTTTGTATATTCAGTTCAGTGGAGGGAGGAGTAACTCTAGCTAGGTCCAAGGGACTTAGGAAAGCTGTTACCTAATATTATCTCTCTTGAACATCCGAAATACTCCATTTACTACCATTAATCCATGACAGAAGATCTCTTAGAGATACTTACTGGATAGACATTTTCTCCCAGTGAAGATTAGAGAGTAATGGTAGCAGCTGTCCTTAGCCAGGGCTGTTTTGTATGCCATCTAATCCCCCCAGAAGTGCCTGTAGCTCTGGGAATCCTCTCCACCCCTCAGCTGATGGAGGGTAACAGAAGTAGCTTTCAACACTTTAGATGCTTACACATTATTTGGACTTGGTGTTTCCATAGCAGTGTTTTGGCTGTTTTCCACAGACCTGGATTCTTCCCAAGGAGAATGAGAAGTGGGTTGAATAGAAAGGAACTTTGTGAGTCCATTAGCTGACTTCAGTCACCACTCTTCCTTTGGTGCCCCCTCTACCCAATACCACTTTGCTATCATTCTCACCCTCATTAATTTACTCAATTATTTAAAAATATCTACTTTACATGATCTAGAATTGGTTAGAGATAGTAAGTCACTATCCTCATGTAGTAATTACTATGGTGACTAGGCACTTTTTAATAAGATTTAGATAGTGTTAACATTGGAGGTGTATGAGGTGCTGTCATTGCATGATTTACCCATGCTATCCTTCTTTGGCACAGTTCAATACCAAGGTCCTTTCAACAAGGCAGGGAACTTTAGCTGTCATTTGTTGTAGAGGAGAAGACACTGCATGCTCCTGTTTATCACCACTGCTTGCCTATTGTTCATCACTGTCCTGACCATTGCTCTTTTTCTGCA